ACATATGTCTGTCCCGAGCATGCCCATTGGTACCCATAGCTGGGCAATCCACTGGACTCCCTGGCACATGAGCTTCCTCTGTTGTCGTTTCCCCTCTCCCGCAGTGTGGATAGAGGCCCCTGCCCATGGAGGTACACTGCAGACAGAAGCAGCAGCAGAGGCCTGGCTTCCTGAGGAATTACTGGCCAGTTTGAGATAGGAAGAAAGTCCCACCTACCATGAACACCCCCCAGCCTGGAGGAAGCTCCATGCCAGCAGCATGGACCAGCATGAGAGCCAGAGCCCTGCTAATGCTGCAGCTCATCACCCCTGCTCAGCAGCCCAGCAGCCATTGCCACATCCCATTTCCAGGGCCTCCTGCCCCTGTGCCCCCATGTGCCCGTCGATCCACACACCTCTCTTCCTGTTGCCCAAGGTAGGCATGGAGGGAATTTTTCAAGTCCACTTTTAGTAGGTAAGTCAAAACAAAACAAAATAACTGCTGCACACTGGGTCCAATGCCCTTCCAAACTCACTCTTTTCTCTGACCCTTAAACACTTGTCCTGCATCTCCAAGACTCCAGTGTACCTTGATCAGCAGGTCCCTCTTCACTGCAGTGTCTTTTTTGCAGAGTTCTTTTAGATATTTTGTGCTTTTGCTATGGACAGAGGAAAGAAAGAAGGGTAAATTTGGGAAACACTGGGGAGATTTGTGAGTTCCAATCCAATCCCTTTTGTTTGAAAATCCAGAGAATCCCAACTTCCTGGGTGAGAGTTTCCAGTGGGGTCCTCTGATGACAAGGGCTCCAGAGGAACAGGATGGGAGTTTTCATGCTCCTCGCCTGGGCCCTGTCTCCACTTCACATGAGCCACTGTTTGTTTACAGTTAGCTTTTATTTGGACACAGTTCCACTGCTGGATACAAACACCTGAAAGTCTCCAGTTGGCTCTAGTCTGTTCCTGATGGTTAAAAAACCGTAGTCCCGAGTTGGAAATCCTTGCCTAGAAGTCCAGGGCAGCTTAGGGACCACACCCACCAGACCATCCCTGCCTTGTGTCCCTGGACTCCAAGAACCTTTCAGAGTCGTTGAGGGCACGTGGGGAGACATACGGTCCCTAGCTCAACCCTGGTGCTCCCATGGAGAGAGTCCTCCTCACCTGGACACTGCTGCCCATGTCTTATGTAGCCGATATATTGGTTTGCTGCACAGTGCGGAGACGATGGCGTGCACCGTGGAGAAGTTGTTGACGCTTAGGCACTCCTGAAGAGGGAAGAGTGAGCTGTGAGGTCCATGGGTGGAGCCTGGCCCACTTCAGCCTCAGCTCCCTCTGCTGAGATCTCCCCTCCTGGACGAAGCAGAGGCCTGGGAACCCTTCGGAGGGCACACCTGGGGCCGAGTGAATGTCACTCATCTAGGAGGATTTTAGTTCAACCCAAGGAAGAACCCAGGTCAGAAGTGAGCAGCTACCACTGGGCCGTGGGAGTCAAGGTCAGTGAACCTCTGGCAACAACCTCCTAGGGGATGTGCAGGGCTCAGGCTAGCGGTACAGAAGCCAATCCTGAAAGCCGATGGAGGAGAAGAGCCAGTTCCCCTTTTTCAAAGAGGGAAGCCTCAGGCCCAACCATGGCTTACCCTGGCCACCTTGATCCAGTGCTCCACCACCCTGGCCCTGTCCTGGGCCCTCATGCTGTGGTCCCCGAGGCAGGAGGTGGTGACACAGTTCTTGAGCCTGTTGAAGTGTGCGACGGTGGCACGAACTGTGGGTGCCACGTGCTCATTCCCCTTCTGATGTCGTTGGCCCCAGATGGAGCCCAAGCATTCGTAGAGCTCCACCTTCTTGAACAGATCCTTTTGGGGAGAATGAGAGTGTCATGGATACAGCACACTCCAGCTCAGGGTCACCCATAGTCCCAGGCAGGGACTGAGCTCACAGTCATCCGTGGTCTCTGGCAGGAACCAAGCTGGAGCTCAGAAAGCTTTAAAATGGGCTCCAGAAGTGTGGGAGTCCCTGGGTTTGATTTTCTGCCCACCGAGGGCCCTGAATGCATCATGGCCCAGAACCCAACAAGGGTGGGAAGAGAGAGTGACATTTTCTCCCAGGCCATCTGCACTCCAAGGACTAGAAGGTGGCTCAGGCCTGTCCGTCCTGAGACCTTGTCTTCCTCCCATCCCAATCAGCCCTCTTCTCCTCCTCTCCATACTGGTGCACTTTCCTTGTGGCAGTTGCAACTATGGGCTCTGTTTGGGTGTCTGCCGTAGAATCTAGTATGCATCAAGTACCTAGTAAGCGCTGAGGGTTGTGAGGCTCCTGAGCAGCTCTGTGAGTGACCCATGGCCCTGCCTGCCCCTCAGTGATCACCTGCCCTGTCCTGCTTTCTGTCCATCCCCTGTCATTCAGTCTGCACGGTCACTCTGTGCAGCTGGCACGGGCGATGTCCCATCTCTGCTGTCCACATGCAGACAGGGAAGGCTTGTGGGTGAGGAAACTCATCCAGATCCCATGGTTGGTAAGAAGTGGGGCTGAAATTGGACCCAGGGCATTGGCCGCCCCTCAGGGAGAGGCTGGTCTGAGACAGTTGGTGCCAGAGTCACAGCCTGCAAAGCCCAGCTGCTCACCACATCCATGAGGGTCAGCTGCTCTGCCAGCAGCCTGGGAGGGAAGGTCGTGATGTCCGGCATCTCCTCACGAGGTGGGTTCTTCACAGCCCCGGAACAGGGGGACTCTGGGGCTGACTGTATCTCCAGCACTGTTCCTGGAGGGGGCCCTTCTTTTGGTGCTGGCCCTGGTGCTGAATGTAGATATCTGGGTGCATCCAGGCTTGCATGTGACTCTGGCTTCAGAGCAGGCCCCAGGTCCGCCAGCAGTGGTGGTGCTGGCTCCAGGGCCAGCATTGTTAATGGGTGTTGCCCAGGAGGTGGAGTAGGATCTGGAAAAGGGGAAAAGGTCACCCCACCAGTCACTTTTCACTGGACTTTCCAAGCACAGAAATGACCAGATGGAATTTAAGGGAATTGTAGCCCCAAAGCACCACCCCCGGAAAGTCTTCCAGACTGCAAGCCACCTCACCATCTGGTTTGGCCTCGTTGGGCTCCGGAAGCACCAACTGGCCTAGGACAAGTTCCTGGTGGTCCTCCACGCCCAGTCCAGGCCAGGCGAAGTTCCTGAAGGCCAGCTTTATCCGGAAAGATGACCGTTGTGGGGGCTGATAGCAAACTGAAGTGTTTTCAAGGGGCCAGGTGAACAAAATGGAGGTGATGGTGCTGGTGATGGAGTAGACAGCTGAGTCAGAGGCCTGGCCTTCTCCCACACAACCCTCCAGGGCACACTTGTGTGGTTCTGGGTCCCTGACCTGTTGCAGCCTGTGTAGAGGACAGCCCCACCCTACCCCAAGCCATCAGTGCTGTCCTGGAAGGGGCAGACCTGGCCATGCACCATGGCTGTACAGACCCTTTTGCACCCTGGCGTCCCACTGACATTCTCTTCCCAAGACCCTGGAGCACAGCACTGTGCACCTGGGCACTCAAGACTGCAGCTCCAGGCTGATTTGTGAGCAGCTTGCTCATCAAGCTCCAGCTCTGGCTCCCCTGTTCCTGGGGTTAGGAGGGTAGGGGCAGATGTTGGGTGGAGGAGGACAGGGAGATCTGGGAAGCCATGGTGCTGTGGTGGGTCTCTCAGTGGCCAGCTGTGACCCCAGCCTCCCCTCTCCTTTGCAGGGAACCTAAGTCTCCATTTACAGAACTCACTATATGCCTCTTACAGGGGAAGTCCCCAGATGTCAGCCTTCTTGTGGGCATTATAAGAAGTATGAGCCCCAGAGCTCTTTTAGCGTCTCCCCAGCCAGAGTCCACATCTTTTCCCCCATGTTTTGTGGGTGAAAACGACTTTCAGAATCCTAAATTCACCCAGTTTATACTTGTTGCTGGGCTCCGTCATTCTAGTCAAAATCTGGGAGGATGCCACCATACGTAGAAGAGGCCATGAGGGTTTCCCCTCGAACATTCTGTAGATACGACCTGTTTATTCTGTCTCCTGTGAGGGCCTGACTCAGTAGAGTCGATACTGAGGGATTGCCATTGGCTTTGTTTATGAAATTATGCCAAACCACAAGAAGAGCGATGCAAAAATGAGGTGTTTTGTATGTATGTGTTGAATGAGTGAACCCCAACCGTTGGTGAACCCCATTGAGCCTCTCCAGATGTCTGAGTGGGCCTGTGGCTCTCTTTTCAGCACCAAGTGTCCCTTCTTCTGTCTGTGTCGAGGAGAGAGACCAGCCAGAAAGAATCTCAGACATCCTTACCAGTTCCATCATAGACTTGCTTTTCTGTGTGCTTTTCCAAACATCGAGGGATATGGGCCATTGAGACAGAATGCTGAGAGCTACTTCAGTGAGGGGGAAGAGAAAAGTAATAAACATGAATCACAGCACCTCCAGCAGATATCCAGAGTTTTAGGCTCTAGGGACCCCTTTTTTTTTGCCGTGTCTTAGATCATTCAGTCCCTACAAGAACCCTGTGAGGTTCATCTTCTCACTACTCCCTGTTCCAGAGGAGCCAGCCGAGTCTCTGAGAGCTGCATCTTCAAGGCACAGCCAGTAGGGGACAGAGGCACCTCTGTGCCTTGTAGGGGATGGGCACTCACCTTCTAACCAGTAGTTCCAAAAAATGTGGCACGGTGATAAAGTCCCAGGAGGGGCCCAGGCAGGTGGCATAGGAGGAGATGGGTTTAGTTAGCAAGGCTGGAACCAGGGAGTCCAACAGCTTCTCCCTTGTGCTGGGCTGGAAAGTTGGCATCCTGCAGATCTGATTTTCATACTAGGGGGAAAAGGAGGGACATGGGAGTCAGTGGTAACACTGTGAACCACCAGAGGATCGGGATCTGGAACTCACACCAAGAAGCATCAACCCTTCAGGGACTTGTGCATGTGGAGAACCTGGGTGCCCATGGTGAAAAGGGTTCTAGGCTTTCAAAGTAAAATTGCATGTGAGGATGGAGAGTGATAAATGATTCTTGCTTTCAAGGCGTTGTCACGGTGTTTGTTAGCTGTTGGGCAATGGCACCCTGTGAATCAGCAGCCTACATGAAGAGCATCATCCCTGCAATCCTCACAAATCACCCTCATGGTAGAGAAGAGACACGGGCTTTTGGATTTCACATGGCTGCTGAACAGCACCTGGGTCAGAAGGGAGCACCTTCCACAGGGAGGACTGCATGAAATTCCCTCTAGGCCACCTGAGGCTCCACCTCTGATATGGAGGGGAAGGGCCTGGAGAGGCCTGGTCCCCTCTTCATTTTAGCAGCAGGGCACAGGACAAGATGCTCTAGTAGAAGAACCTTTTGACTTAAAGGGATAGGATTGTTTTTGTTCTTTCAACATGAACGTGAGTCTGGAGAAACAGCTATGGCCATCCCAGCCCTGGGCAAGGGGAAGATGCCGGAAAACTCCAGGGTGGGAGGAAGCACATCCCAAGGCCCAAGATCTGCCAGACAACTGGAGAAGAGAAAATGCAGGCAGGTATTGAAGCCGTGAAAGGTTACGCAAATGTACGTTTGAAACTGGAAATGAAACAAGGTGATTTTCTCTGCCACACGAACAACAGATTGGCAAAACGTTAAAGCATGTTAGTGTTCAGGGGAGGCTGCGTTCAGAGAAGCAGCTACCTTCAGAGGCTGCTGGTGACTGTGTAACCAGCTGGAACTCTTTTGGACAGTCAACTGGCTAGAGATGTTGAAACTTGATGACTGCATATCCTTTCACCCAGATATCCCTTTCCCGGGTGTCTATCTTCCGCAGGGGATTTGTGTATTTTATGGATTGAATTGTGTCCCCTCCCCCAAATGTAAATGTTTCTATTCTCAACCCCAGAGACTCAGAATGTGACTGTGTCTGGACACAGAGTTCTCCAAGAGGTAATTCAGGTGAAGTGAGTTCATTAGGGTGGCCCCTAATTTAATATGCCTGGGGTTCTTACAAGGAGAGGTGGTGAGCGCACAGAGAAGTTGGAGAGAAGACCCTGTGCTGACCGAGATAGAAGTCAGCCATCTCCAAGGCAAGGAGAGAGGCCCAGACAAACCACCCCAGTCTGACAGCTTGACATTGGAGTTCCAGTCTCCAGAATTGTGAGGAACCAGATTTCTGTGGTTAAGCCCTTCAGTCAGCGTGGCATGTTATGGCAGTCCTGGCAAACTGCTCCAGCCTGTTAGGACACACATAGGATTATGCTCCCTGCAGAACGGCTTCCTAGAAAGGGAATTTTATCATGACATGCTCCACCAGCATTGAGAGGCTGACCCGCTGCGGAACATGGCCTCCCTTAAGGAATATTACAGTGAGATGTGAGGGTACAGCTCCTGCCCGATTGGCCTGCAGGGATGAGTTCTGTGAGATGACACTTTAAAGACAAATGCATGGAGTAGCTTCACCTTCTGTTGCTGTAGTCAACCCCCCCCCACCCTTGTTTGTGTAAAAGTTCTGTATTTTAAGTCCTGGAGGAGGTCTGGCAGGGCAGCAGAGCTGCCTGTTTGTTGCCCGAGATACCCTTAGGGTGGGGAGTTAAAATGATAACAGTATGAGTATGTTGCTATTGTTACCATTATTGTGGCATGAATTCTTGTGGCAACATGCTGAGATACTTCTGGCATAGCATAAAGTGAAAACAGAAGGATTTTCTCTGATCTTCCTCTGATAGGTGAGAGGGACTTTGCCTGTAACCAAGTTGTCACTGGGGACTGATGGCAGCTAGATTGCTTTGGGATAGGACAGTGGGTCACTAAAGTGGGAAAGCCCTAGGACAGAGCTTAGGGAGTCCCCATATTTGTGTTGGAGTCCTGGGCCCACCCTGGTTTTCTGGAGTCCCTGTCTGTGGAGACCCTTCTGTGCCCCGTCTCACCCCAGACCATCACTGGCCGTTGTTGGTGGCATGGTGCACCTGTCCTTTAACAAAGTTGGAGAAATGGAATCCATCCAGCAGCTCCTGCTTTATCCACTGTGTGGAGCTCTACAAAGAGAGTGCCCGAGAGCCGGGCCAAGAGGTGTCAGTGGCCTGTCTGGTTGACCCCACAATGGGATACCCCCATTAGAACTTCTCCTAGCCCCCCCCCTTCCCCAACAATATTTGCCACATAGGAGCATCTGCATAGACCTCCAGCCAGAGAAGGTTGAGTTCTCTGGCAGATGACAGCTTGAGGTCTTGGGATTCAGATCTGAGTAGACAAAGTGTGTCCTCAACGCTCACCTTCCCACCCTGCCAGGCATGGTCTGGGCTGTGAACCTGACAGGCTCCAAACACCTGACAACCAGCCTGCTTCTGTCCAGGGAGGGCCCCTCATCTCCTGTTTCCCCCATACACATGGGGAGGGGCTCGGCGCTGCCCAGACGGGCAGAGCTGAGGCCTGGCCTGGACGGGCCTGCCCTGGGCCCTGTGTTACCTGAGGGTGCCTTCTGGCAAAGGGCCAGAGGCGTCGAGGGTGAGGGTTGAACCAATGTCTATATTCTTGAGAAAGACTCTCATTTTGGCCTCTCCTGCGACGAGGAGGTCGGCAGCATGTCGGGACACAGCAGGAGAACATGTTGTTCTCCGGAGTGTCGCCCACCAAATGAGCTGGAAATGGGGCTGTGTGTATAATATGGGTGCCTAGTTACCAGAATTCTAAGTTCTATTGGGGATCTGTCAGCAAGGAAGTGAGGTCACATCTTGCAGGTTCCATCCTGTAAGCTCCTCCTTTCCATGAGACCTACTCACAGGTCCCTCTGGGTTTCTGATCGCTCACCCTCCCCCATCAACTCCTTAGCTTTCACCGTTAAGCAAAAGTGTGCCTCTTCAGCACCTTGGGAAGAGAAGACCGGAATATAACCATTCTCCCAGGTTTGAGGAGCCAGTGCTGGGTCAAGAGCAGCCTTTTATCATAGCAGTTGTGAGACCCTAGAGAACTCCTTTGGTGTTTTGGGGCCTCCTCAGCTTGAACAATGGGGATTATGCTAGCATCTCCTTCCTAGGGAACTCATGAGGTGTGTTTGAGATAAATCTTAAAAACTCATGGTGTGGTGTTCCCTGTAGATTTTGCACACCCTGCAAGATGGAAGAACTACAAGAAGGGGTGAGAAGTAGCATGGAATACAACTCCAGTGGGCCTGGGGTCCACAGTGTGATCTCAGGAAAAACTAATTTTGCTCTGGGCCTCGTCTTTCACTCTCCACCAGTAGAGGTTGAGATTAAATGAAATTCAGACATCCTCTTCTGACATTGCACCTTCCAGTGCGTTCCCATTTTATTTAGAACCAGACCCTGTGCCTCATCTCAGCCTTGGGTGGGTAGTATCCACAAAGACAGCACTGAGGGGTTAGTGACTCCCTTCTGAATGATGGAATAGGACACAAATGGTGGAATAGCACTTCTGAGCTAGTTCAGGCTGTTACGGCCAAGATCCGTAGCCTGGGGAGCTCATCAAGAAGAGAATTGTGTTTCTCCCAGTTCTGGAGGCTGGAAGTTGGAGATCAGGGTACCAGCCTGGTCAGGCCTTAGTGAGTACACTTCTGTCCCATTCACTGAGCTTTTACAGGTGCTGTCCTTTCCTTGGAGGATGGCTCAACTTTAGGAGCATGGGTAGATCTCCATTCAAAGCCCAGTTCTCACTTGTAGCTTGGTGATCGTGAGGAAGTCATAGAACATCCCTGTGCCTGTTTTCTCCTCTGAGAAATGGTGTTAGTGAGAATTGCTTCACTTTTTAATTACAGAAAATAAAGCATGCAAAGAAGTTAACTCGGTGCCATTGGGCAGAGAGTGAGAGTCCAGCAAACCAGAGAGATCAGCTTGCCCACAACAGTGGCAAGGAGTGCGGAGAGTGGGTGAGGCTGGGGCAGAAAGCAGGCCAGCCTGCCAGAGCCCAGGAACAGGTGAAGGGCAAGAGTGAGCTCCTCACCCTGAATTCTCAGGGGACACAGGCATGCAGGGTTTGTGGGGAGCACAATCATCAGGACTGCCCTCATTCCCCTGGTTCCCTCCATATCTGATGTGGTCCCAGGGCCCCCTCTCCCTGTGTTTCCTCTCTGCCCTGTTTTCTTCCTGGCTGCCCTCCCAGGACTCATTTTGGGCCCTGGTCAGGTGGAGTCTTGAGGTAACTATAGGCTCCTCTGAGGTTCAACCTACCGTTTGTTGAGACCTCTGAGCTTAGAAACCACCTCCAGCCTATACCCGAGAGAGGGCTGGAGGGAGCTGACAGTGCAATGGCGGTTTTCCCTGGGGCAGCCACTCCAGGGCCTGCTGGCAGGTATCTGCTGAACTTGAGCTTTCTTTTGGGCCTCTGGGGTTCTGAGGTGTGATTTTCCCTCTTAAGATAGGCTGATCCCCCAGTGGGTGCCTTAGCCTCAGAAATGGTTCCCGCTGAGCTGGGAGCTGTGCTCTACCTTCAGTTTCCTAGGACACCTCACCCTGGCCCTGCCCATTCTGACTTCCAAAACCCAAAGAGAGGGTCTGTAGAAATTGCTAGATAGGAAAGGGCTACAAATAAGTCATTGGAGGTGTATTTACATAACAAATGTTTTTTAGTCATTACTATACATCTACCTCAGCAAAGGCAATATTTAAAAATGTTAATACCCTGAGTCACCCTACAGAGAGTTGTATTTATTTGATGGCGCAGGAGACAGTCATGTTCTGTTTTGTTTTTTCTTTTTTGAAATGGGATCTTGTGGTGTTTGCCCAGGCTGTAGCAGAGTTGCATGATCATAAGCAGCCTTGACCTCCCAGGCTCAAGGAATCCTCCCTTCTCAGCCTTTCAAGTGGCTGGGACTTGAGAGTCCACCACCATGCCATGCCATATTTTTTTGTAGAGGCAGGGTCTCACTGTTCCACCCAGGCTTGTCTTCAAGTCCTAGCCTCAAGCTGTCCTACTGCCTCGGCCTCCCACAATCGAGTTGACAGACATAAGCCACTGTGCCTGGCCATGTTTCTTTTAAGAGCTCCCTTAGTATTTCTTTTTTTTTTTTTTTTTTTTTGAGACAGAGTCTCGCTCTATCGCCCAGGCTGGAGTGCAGTGGCCGGATCTCAGCTCACTGCAAGCTCCGCCTCCCGGGTTTACGCCATTCTCCTGCCTCAGCCTCCCGAGTAGCTGGGACCACAGGCGCCCGCCACCTCGCCCGGTTAGTTTTTTGTATTTTTTAGTAGAGACGGGGTTTCACCATGTTAGCCAGGATGGTCTTGATTTCCTGACCTCGTGATCCACCTGTCTCGGCCTCCCAAAGTGCTGGGATTACAGGCTTGAGCCACCGCACCCGGCCACCCTTAGTATTTCTAATGGGCATCCAAGCAAAGAAGGCTTTGCTTGCAGAAGGCTGTGGAACCCTCCTGAGGGTGCATTTTCTTCACAGCCAGCAGATTGTTCCCTGAAGTGTCTGCTTAGCAGTGCACAGGCTATTTATATCCAGGGCTTTGGGGAGCTGTTGGGTTTGGAGACTGGCTGGGGCGTGAGTGTTGGCTCTGGGATCTGTCACAGAGGTCACAAGGTGCAAAGAACTGGTCTCACTTCATAATGACTTACCCATTTTGTGATTCTGTTTATATTTTTTCATCTCCCTGGACTGTAAGGCTTGCTAGGTCAGGGACCATGTCTTCTTGCTCCCTGGTGCCTGACTCGCAGGAGCTCTTGAGAAATATTGAGTGCATGAATGACACTTTTGGTTTCTGTGATATGTGCAGGGAAGGAGGTGTTAATGGGACATGGAGGAGGCACCCCTGTCCCAGCTTAGGGGATAGGGAGTCCAGGAAGGCTTCCAGGAGGAGGCGATACCTTGGTTGAAGCTTAAAGCCTGAGTTGCAGCTAACCAGCTGGAGCATTTGGGGAGGGGCATCTGGCAGAAGGTGCCACGTGAGCAATAGTATGGAAGTGAGCACTTAGTACCACCTTTGGGGACCAGGGCTGAGGGTCAGTGGTCCAGGCGGGGCTGGAGATGCTGGTTCATGCTTCTTGTCCTGAGAGTCCCAGGTGCCTGTGAGAGTGGCAGAGTGGCACAGCCTGCCCTCCGCTCCCATTGCTCTAGTGGTTGTTGAGGGGCCTTTGAGTTACCCCCTCTTCTCCCCACTTTGCCCACATGCTCAGAATTATATTTATTTTTTATGAAACAGAGTCTGGGTCTGTTTCCCCAGCTGGAGTGCAGTGGCATGATCTCGGCTCACCGCGACCTCCACCTCCCAGGTTCAAGTGATTCTCTTCCCTCAGCCTCCTGAGTAGCTGGAATTACAGGCATGTACCACCATGCCTGGCTAATTTTTGTATTTTTAGTAGAGACAGGGTTTCACCATATTGGTCAGGCTGGTCTCAAACTCCTGACCTCAGGTGATCCACCAGCGTCGTCTTCCCAAGGTGCTTGGATTATAAGCATGAGCCACTGTGCCCGACCAGAGAGTTATTTTTAAAGCCACCCTGCAGGGCCCTCAGGCACCATCTCCAGGATCTCATTCAGGCCTCCCACCTTACCCCTAAGAAGGAGGGGTGCTGGTTACCACTCACCTCCCTTTACAGATATCCACATGAGGTTGGAAACTTGCCCAACATCACACATACAGTGAGTAGCCGAGGATTCGACCCCAAGTCAGTGACTCCACATACTGGGCTCTCAGCCTCTCTCAGCTGCCCCCTGACACCCTGTCCTTTATGCTAATTTGCTGGTTCCAAAAGAAATGAGCTCCCTATCATTGGAGGAATGCAAGGAAATGTTGGAACACCCCTTAGAATGGATGCTGCGGAGGGATAAAAGCCTCCTGACCACCTGGACCTTTGTGGACCCGCATCTCCTGAATGATCCCCTTTAGGTGTGATTGGTGCAGTCTCGTCAGGCACCCCGGGTCTGCTAACTCCCAATGAGGTGTTTCTTTTGGTCCTCAAGTTCAGAGAAGCTGAGTAATCCCTTCTCACGGGTTTCCTAGCACCTTGATTTTCAGATGACCCAGTTCTGGGCGGAACTGGAGGCAGGGCTTTAAGGCCATCAGAGAGGCCTAGTTTGAGTTCCAGCAGTGCCCTTTCCTGGCTGTGTGACCCTGGGAAAAATTGCATAAACTCCTTGAGCCTCAGTTTATACACCTTTAAAATGGAGTAATAATGCTCTTTTGAGGATTAAATAAGAATTCTATAAAAGCACCTGGCATATAAAGTATGTTCAAGTAAGGAACTTAAATTTGCAAGGGAAAAAACCTCATTTAAAAGGGGGCAAATGACAAGAACAGATACTTCTCAAAAGAAGACATACATGCAGCCAACAACCGTATGAAAAAAAGCTCAGCATCACTGATCATTAGATAAATGGAAATCAAACCACAGTGAGCTACCATCTCACATCAGTCAGAATGGCCAAGGTTGCAGAGAAAAGGGAATGTTTATACACTTTTGGTGGGAGTGTAAATTAGTTCAGTCATTGTGGAAGACAGCAACAGTTCCTCAAAGACCTAAAGACAGAAATACCATTCAATCCAGCAATCCCATTACTGGGTATATACCCAAAGGAGTAGAAATCATTATGTCATAAAGACACATGCAACTGGGCATGCTGACTCATGTCTGTAATCCCAGCACTTTGGGAGGACGAGGCGGGCGGATCCTGAGGTCAGGAGTTCGAGACCAGCCTGACCAACATGGTGAAACCCCTTCTCTACTAAAAACACAAAAATTAACTGGGCGTGGTGGCATGCACAGTAATTTCAGCTACTCAGGAGACTGAGGCAGGAGAATCACTTGAACCTGGCAGGCAGAGACGTTCCATTGAGCTGAGATCGCACCATTGCACTCCAGCCTGGGTAACAGAGAGACTCTGTCTCAAAAAAAAAAAAAAAATGCACGCCAGTGTTCACTGCAGCACTGTTCACAATAGCAAAGGCATGGAATCAACTTAAAAATGCCCATCAATGGTAGACTAGATAAAGAAAATGTGGTACATATGCACCATGGAATACTATGCAGCCACAAAAAAGAATGAGATCATATCCTTTCCAGGAACATGAATGGAGATGGAAGCCATTATCCTTAGCAAACTGATGCAAAACAGAAAAACAAATACCACGTGTGTTCACTTACAAATGGAAGCTAAATAATGAGAACACGTGGACACAATGGGGAGCAAGACACTGGGGCCTATCGGAGGATGAAAGGTGGGAGGAGCAGAAAAAATAGCTTGGCTAATAGGCTTAGTACCTGGATGATGAAATAATCTGTACAGCAAACCCACGTGACATGTTTGCCTGTATAAAAAACCTGCACATGTACCCTTGAACTTAATTTTTTTTTTCTTTAAAAGGAACGTGTTCAAATAGTCTCTTACTTTATCATTTGGTTCAAAGTAGCCTCCAGCTTCTGCTGTGAGACAAGGTGTTCATTAGAACAAGGGCCCATTAGAACAAGGGCCACCTTTGAGTAACGTAGGGCAGATTATATGAAAAGAAAAAATCTGTGCCTCAGTTTCCCCATTCTAAAATGGAATAATTTGGGGACTTAATTATCAGGGTTGTTGTGGTTATACACAGTTCCTGGAGCATAGTGAGTGCCCAAAAAAGTGAATAATGAGCTTCACCACCATAAAGTTCCTGCACACAGGCCACAGTGATCCCAGACCATCACTGCCTCAGGACCACCCCAGACTCCCTGGCATCTATCAGCCTTCAAAGTGGATCAAGCCCAAGCCCACGTCTGAGAGCCTGGAATGGGGAAAGAGTGAGCTGAATTCCAGCTCTTCCTTCCAGGGCTGCCTGGCCCTCTTCCCCTGTCCACAGTCTGGTCTGTGCCCCAGGATGGGTTTGGAGGAGTGTGCAGCCTCCTCTCTTCCTGCATGGAGACGATGCCCTTTTCTGCAGTGTTCAAAGGTAATAACCTGTTACCCTCCTTGCTAATTACCAGCCTTTTCAACTTCATCTCCTGGCCTTAGGGTGTCAGCCTGTCATTAACTCCTGGGGAGATATTCTAACAGGTAGTTGGGATATCAGACTTCTGGGGCGATATAGCCAATACTGGGTAGCAAAGGTGGGAGAGGTCCTCACTTGTTGGGGCCCGTCCCTTAGGCTGAGAACTACGTGCACACTTAACATCAGCAGCTCCAGATTCATTCCCAAGGTAAGAGGTTTACAGCCAGCTTCCTGGCTGTGTGACCTCAGGAGAGGAGCTTAACCTCTGAGTTTTGAGATCCACAGCTGTAAGTGGACAACCTTCTCCACTCTGCAGCGTTTGGACTTGAGACAGTGTGTGAAAACTGTCATGATGGCAACAGGAAACGGGTCCTGCAAACTGAGTACATTAAGGCAAATTTAATAAATGGGCTATTGACTGGTGGTGGGAGGGAGGGCCTGGTACAGCTCTCAGATGGATGCATGGATGTGCCAGCATGATAGGAAGAGGTGGCAGGAAGGGGATCTGAGGAGGAGAAGGAGGTGGCACCCCGGTGCATCAACATTGCACTGCAGGGTGAGGCCAAGGCTATCTGGGAATGCAGATCCTCTTGGAGTTCCCATGCTTTGTCCTCGCCCACAGCAGGGGCGACTCATCTTCCTCCTACACCTCAGCAGGGGCGACTCATCTTCCTCCTACACCTCTAGCACCCAGCATGGATGCACAACAGGAGAGACACAGGTCCTAGTACTGTGTGGGCCCAGTGGCCCTGATAACATCTGCTGCAGGGGACCCCCTCTATGCCTTTTGTGTCTGGGAGGAAGCACAGCTCACCAGGCTCCCTGTTCTCCTCAGATCCCCTTCCTGCCACCGCTTCCCACTCCCGGGCCTCTGCATCATTCACCTTGCTGACCCCTGCCCCCTCCCCAGCCCCAAGCATGGACTGCACCAGGAGAAGCCCAAGCCCTGCCTCTCCTGCTCCTGCAGCTGCTTCAGCAGCCCCTTCCCCACTTCACAGTCAACCCCACATGGGGATCCCCTCTGAACGAGGAAGACAGAGGCCCTTCACATTCCTGGGCCTCAACCACAGCTGC